TGATTGGGATATGCTTAAAAACTGCGTGAGCTTTCTCTCATCCTGGTTATAATTAGAGGTCGTTTCATCATAGATTGGATAGGATGTCCAGAAGGTATGGCTGCGTTCATACTTCGGCGCAGCGTGCACCAACGTACGGCACGCTTCGAGCAAACGCCAGGAAAGTATAGATATCGATCTAGAGAACGCCAGACTCCACCGGCATCCGTCACCGTCTGCCTGCGTTCGAGGGATCAGGGAACTATAAGTATCGATAACGAACTGGTGTACCTCAGCGTTTACCAGCACCGTCCTAGAGTGTCTAGTATGGAAAGTAGAAGGGTAGCCAGCTGAATTAGGCGTGAAATTGCGACGTGTGCTATGCACTGTACAAGTGCACTACATTGTTCATCAAGTTGCATAATTCTGCGCTGTAGTGTACGGTGTGGTTGCACACGTCGCAGTTTTACAACGCTTAGGCAGCGTTCAGACTTCGCGACGGCAGCGCAGTCGAAAGCATGCGCATCGATCGCGTCGAACGCGCGACCGAAGCGCTGCCGTCGCGAAGTCTGAACGCTGCCTTGTTCCAACTGTCCACCCTCCTACTTCCCCATACTCTCCACTTCTGGAAGCTGCTGTGCGCTGAGAAACGCTGGCGTTCGCTAGATCGATACCTGTACTTCCCTAACCCCTCGACACGTAGATGGACGCTGCTGTAAGTATCAAAGCAACCACTGGGATATATTGGAAAGAAGGGAAACCATTCTAGAGAGCTGCTCATCGCTTTACATCATTCAGACTCGCAGAGTTGCAAGATTGAGGAAAATATGGTCTAATGCTGTTTTCATGGTTCACCTCACCTCATCAGCATATGTTCACGTGGTCGTTAGTTCTGCGCGCATACAGCAGGTTTGAGCGCAAATTCGATCGGTCGATATCTGTTTTGCGCGTGAATGACTGCGCTTCAAGACACATGGTACGATCACACATAGTTTGGGTGTGCGTGACTATCAGCCCCCCCCCCCAGCTGTCGAAGCGTAGCGGTTTCCCCGTCCTAACATGCGCAGGAATGGAGATACAGGACCGTGAAACACGCTAATTCCTCCATGCTCCGCCCAATGCCTTTTGCGGCGCAAACGGCCCCGTTCATGCTATTAGCCGTTCGCGTTGCGCTGCGGATCTGCGTGCGGGCTCTCTTGGCACTTATTGCCAGCTCTCTGATAATTGCGCTTTGGAATACCAGTAAAACGCGATTTCCTGATGCGGATAACATTTTGGGTGCTGCAAAGTAGGAACAAGATGATGACGAGGGCCAGAACTCAAGAGCAACTGTGCTGCTACTGCAACATCCCTCAGAGGTCGCGCATTTCCCACAAAACATGAAAATAAAAATCCTAAGCTGCGCCACTCGTTAGTTGTAAGTACAAAAAATGCGATTGTCGCGTGATGGATAGACAATTTGAGGTGTTCATATGCTCAGGTGGCAGCGTCGAATAGGTGTTGAAGATGAACGAAGGCTCAGAATGAAGAACAACTAATGTGATGTAATAAAGAACGAAATAATGAAAAATTAGAGGAAATCCAAATTAATTAAACTCGAGTGTAATAATTGCTGCGTCCGGCTTCAAAGCCATAGCTATACTTAATTAACGAGGTGCCCTGGGAAGCAGCACAGTTGCTCTTGAGTTCTGGCCCTCGTCATCATCTTCGGTTCTTATTTTGCAGCACCTCAAATGTTATCCGCATCAGGAAATTGCGTTTTACTTGTATTCCAAAGCGCAATTACAGGACTTGGCAAAGTGCCAAGAGAGCCGCACGCGACCCGCGCGCAACGACGGCTGTTAGCATGAACGGGAGTTTGCGCCGCAAAAGGCATTGGGCGGAGCATGGAGGATTAGCGTGTTTCACGGTCCATTCCTGCGCATGTTAGGACGGGGAAACCGCTACGCTTCGACAGCTGGGGGTCTGTTAGTCACGCACACCCAAACTATGTGTGATCGTACCACGTGTCTTTAAGGGGCAGTGAAAAATATAAAAGCAATCTTACTAGATTATTACTAATGTGCACGTGTTGCCTCACTTCATCATCTTCTTTAACTATGAAACAGAGAACGTGTTCGTTCAGGATTTCCAGGACTACCTGAATGGAATTGATCTGGACATTGACAAATGCAGAGATTTGCTCGGAAGTCACTGGGACTTCAACCTGTTTGATGTAAGTGTCTGCGTAAAAATAGAGGATATATTTTGAAAATTCTTTATCCGTCCAATAATGTGCTTATTCCACATTTCAGAACGTGGACGTGGACGAAGATCAGGAACAGGCGCAGTCTGACGGTCAGCAGCATGAAGTCAACAACGTGTCTTCTTCTTATGGTGGTTTTGGGATGCCGAATGGCAATGCGCAACAGCCTGGTTTACTGACTTATCCTGGTCCACAGTTGGCGTTAGAAGGAGGTCCTCTAACTACCGATACATATCGAGTTAATCCCCAGGTTGAGTTGGTAGAAGAAGACCCCCATACTGAGGTGAACCCTAGATTAGAATTTCCATGCACTCCATTGGTAGGAGATGATCTCTTGTTTCCCAGTACTCCTGACTTGCTTACACCATGCACAAGTCCACGTCCATAAACGCTTTCATATCTCTGGGTGTTTTAAACCAATACTCTGTGTTTCATTCAGCTTTAAATAAGCCCATTCTACATTGCACACCAAGGTTAATCCTATTCACTGATGGAATTATTACTTGTACCGCTAATGTTCGATCGTATGAAATGTCATTTGTCACTGGAAATCACGTCAAGCTATGCCTTTGGTTGCCTCCGAGATTTTTAAATCTCAAAGAGGAGTTCGTAGTTTATTGTTGTGTTTATTCAATTACCAAACGCTAGTTGTTGTCGTCTTATACGTGTACACTTTGAGTAGTTCTTCTTAGTTATTGCTTGCTGGTAATGGATAATAATTGTTTCCTTAATTAAACCTCAAAAGCTTCTATAGTGCCCCGATGTTCGAGAAACTCATCATAATTTTTTTGCGATTTTTTCTTATTATTACCTGACAACTTCAATGTGGTTTGGAGTTAAATTAAGAGAGTTTCACTAGAAATGCTTTTTCACGAGGGGCCATGAAGACTGAACTGACGTTACGTGTCGAACTGATACTTGGAAATGGATTGGTGATGTAAATATTAATTATTGTCTCATTTGTTGATTGTTCAATTTATTTTTCGTTAGCAAACCTCAGCGAAGTAAGTAGGGATAATTTTCTGGCCTTGATCGAAGTTCCGCGTGATCGAAGTTCCGCGTTTCGCGATCTAGTCGGTAATCTAGCTATGGTTTGGAAGTTGAAGCGGGATTCCTCAATCATAGCCGGCATCATTTCCAGCTTCGTTGTGGAAAATTCAACTTTTGCATGTTTATATGAGAATGAAACTTCAAACTGTTTCCATATTTTATTTTAGTTCCATCCTAAACCATCATTTTTACCGTCTTACGTGCAATGAAATGACGAACATCAAGGTAGCGGCCTTTGCAAATGCGGAGACCTAGCGGTCTGAGAGTACTGGCTATTCGGGAGATTGCACGAAAAAGAATGTGTATTCATTGATGCCAAGATTATTGAAGAAGAATGCAGTAGTTCAGTTGCAGTAGTGCACATTGTAGTAGTTGCATAGTTTGGCATACCGAGTCAACTAATTCCTATCAGGGCACATCATTGGTTGGGGATTTTAGCCGAGTCTGTACGACCGTGCCCCTTTTTTTGGGACTCCCCCCCACCTCTACCTAATAACTTTCAGATTTTCCTCAACTTTCTGCCCTTTCTAAAATCTACCGAAAACTTCCAAAAATTTTGCTGTCGAGCGGGGGGGGGGGCATATAGTACGCATGAAACAGGAAAATCACCAAAAGTCAACCGCCACTCCCACAACGCCAAAACGTAAATACGACCCCCCTCCCAAAAATGATCAAGTACGACCCCCCTCCTTTACAACGTCCATGAAGCGAGAAAAATCAACTATCAAATAAATTTTTCCCAGCCCAAATACGACCCCCTCTCCTGGCGGCCAAATACGACCCCCCTATTGGGAATTCCCAACAACGATGTGCCCTGATTCCTATGCATCGTGTAGGTCCTAGTCTGCCACTGGGCTGCGTTCAAATCATAGAACGTCGTCGCTGACCGACGTAATCGGCGAAAGAGGATTGCATGGGTGTAGACCCGACGTGGTCGCCATACCCGATGTACCCCGACGTTTTCGATGTCCAGACGTATCTGATCCTCGGTCGCCGATTGCCTCGATTACTTTGACGTCGCAGGCTCTGAACGCAGCCTTATCATTAGATAACTAGGGGCGTTGTCATGATTGCCGCGTGCGAGAACAGTGATGAAGATGCTGTGAGTCAAAACAGCATGTTATCTCCTGATGAAGCGGAGGTGGTGTAGTGACAGGGGGGGGGGCGCACATACCACTCGCGCGGACCGGGTTCAAATCCCGGGTCGTCTCGATCTCGCCTCAAGTCAACCAATACCTACGGTTGGCGTGCCTACCCACGCGTGGTCCCGGTTTCAAATCCCGGGTCGACTCCCATCCAGGCCAACCAAGCCTTCTACCCTTCGGGGTCGGCAACTGCACCAGATTTGTCTAGGAGGATAAAACACTTGTACACCGGCTGGCCCCCGTAAGTCATTGTTTAGGCCACATTCCTTGCGATACGCCATTACGAATCTGAGTGGAAGTAGAAGAGGTACCGCATTCCAAAAGGGATTGTTAAATGGAATGCGAAGACCTTATCCTTCACCTTTGCATCAGGAGGCGTCTCCCATTTCTGAGAGGACCTGAAAATGGCTCCAGGCTTTCAATATGTCACCTACCCGACCAAACGCCCGACTCAGCGTTCCCGGCGTCGTGTCGCGAATGACTGCGCCAAACCTTGCTCCCGCTGTGTGTTAGTAAGATTACTAAGGACCAATGAGTCTTACTTGAGTCTGATTTGTCGCATAAAACTGTCATAGAGCTCGTCATCTTTGCTGCAACTCGCATTTCGATAAAAACGGCAAGAATTCATTTGTAACTGCCAGACACTCGTTTCGGCTGTTCATCCTTGCTTTGCTTGTTCTCCCAAGTGCGCGAAGCACCCTCCCTTCGACGAAGATCGATTCCACTCGGCAATCCTTGAAATTTCTGCAGCCGAGAAAAATGAAAATGCAGTGAGGAAACTCCATTGCTCGCATTAGAGCATAATTCAAAAATGTGGTGAAAAACACCAAAGACGAGTAAAATTCTTTATTGAAAATAGAAAAGGAAACAGTTCAACGAAAACCAACGGGGAGGAAAATGCTAACTCTCTAGTTTGTTGCATCGGAATGTTCATCATTAACTAATACAATCCGACGATACAAATACATAACTGCAAGGTGTCAGAAGTAAAAAAAAAGCAGTGGATATATCTGATATATCTTCTAAAACTCACCAGACTTCTTTACATGTACTCGGATATTACACAATATAGTTGTCACAGGTAACCGAGCAAACAAGGAACGAGGTGGCTTGTGAAACAACATATTGCCTTAGAACAGCGACATCCCTTACCCATCATGTAGAAATGAAACGCAAAATGGAAAAGCTCGTGAGCCTATAAGTGCATTTGCTCTGCCATAACGGGTAGCGAGTAGAATGAGCAACAGTGTTGACCAAACCTGCCAAATAATCTCGAGAAACCCATCGGGATAGCAATCCAAGACAATGCTCAACTGGTCGATTACGCAAGAATCATAGAAGCTCTGAAACGCAACACTGCAATTGGATTCTTGCCACGGACCGAGATTGCGATCGGTTTTTCGATAATATTCCCCGGCACTTTTCCTCTAATACAACTCCAAAAACTCAAAATTCCGCTAAAGCTTTGCCACAGATATTATTCCGGCGCTGGCGCTTTGGTGCCAATAGCCGCCACCATTTCTCAACATAATCGATGAAACTTGTACACGTGGGTTATTTAACATCCTGATCACGAATATGACATCCGTTTCTTGTCGATGAGGACATTTCTTGCCATATGGTGTCGATTTAGCGGAAGCCTTTCTCACCAAAATCGATGAAAATCGTAGAATAGGTAGACTGATACAGTGTTCACAAAAATG